GGTGAACTGGGAACATCACGGTAAGGCACCATGAGATTCGCGCGCACAAGGCTTGCTCTGATTCTGCGGCACAGGTCCGGGTTCCTGGCTTTCAGTCTGCTCTAGGCCAGGCCTGGATTGGGTCATCCAAAGAACTGGGGTCGCAGATTTCGAAAGTAGCTCCAAAGAACTGGTATCATCGTGGACGAAGCGCTTAACATTGGATCGAAACAAGATTACAGGCACCGAACACCGGGAACCTGATCCGGAGACAGCGTGGAGATATTGCAATGGCAAGTGACTTTCTTCCTGATCCTTTTTGCTTGCAAACGCTGACATGAAGCTGTAAAAGCGTACTTCGAGGACTCATTCGACTCAACTCTCGGCATTGTGTACAGACCTGAGTTTGAGAGCGCTCTTCGAGCCCACTTTCGTGGAGATCTGGTGTCAGGTGAGGATGCTGCCTGGTTTTCCTTGCGCCAAACCGTGTATGCATCTGGCTGTCGAATCTACCTTTCCAAGAACACGTCAATGAGTTTCACAGAGATCCAGAATGAAGCATGGAGCTATTTTCAGAGTGCCATGTCTGCCCTCGTCGAGCTGCTCTTCACACCCACGTGTTTGCTCGCTTTGCGCGCCCTAGTCGCGATGGTAAAGACTTCCGAATCATACGTGCTGGACATCAACTGACCATACATGGCAGACCTTTTTTGCTGAAGGGCTCGGCAATCCCGCTCTTGAGTACATGTTCTGTAGCGGCGCAGCGAGGGTGGCTCAGGCAAAAGGACTACATCGTCGACCGGCCAAAGCCTGGAACCTGGCTGCTCATGATGAACTGCATTGTAGCTGGCTGTTTTGGGCTATATACTGCTGCGAGAAGCTTATTGCCCATCGCTCTGGACGACCATCTGTAAGGCACCAACCACTTCCCCTGCCTTGGGAATTTCCATGTGCTAATCTATGCCTTTTCTAGGCCATCGATGACGACGATATCAGCTGTCAGATTCCTTCCGAAGCCTGCCCTGGAAGCACAATCGACGTGGAGGTATTCACATACCTTATCCGTCATGCTCAGATATCATCTCAGATCTCCAAGCGCCTCATGTCGGTGAAGGCCTTTCAACAGCCACCAAACACTGTGCTTGAAGCTGTCGCTCAATTGGCTCAGCAGCTGCAGGAATGGAGGGATTCTCTTCCGGCAGGATTGAGACCTGAAGACCGCCTGAGGTCCTTCCAAACGCCTCGTGATGCCCGATATCTCCCTAAAACCCTTCTACACTGCGCGTACTACGGGAGCTTGATGGCTATACATACTATTTTGGCATCTCCATGGGTATACAGCACCGTTTTTGGGAATGACAGAGGTCTTGTTACCCAAGATCAAGTAGTTTTCAGCTCGAATACGGTCGCAGAAGCTGCAAGGAACATCATCATTATTGCCAGAATTCTGGAGATTAACGGTGCATCAATCCAGTGGTGCGTATGACCAGTCAATGCTTGATAGCAGAGCAGAGCGATAACTGTTTCTTGATTAATTAATCTAGGTCAACCTTCTACTACCCCATGATTGGACTTATCAACCTTTTTGTACACATTCTCAAATTCCCCTCTCTACCCTCTGCGCGATCTGATGTTGCCTTACTCGACGTGGCAGCAGGATATTTTGGACACATGGAATTTGTCACAAGCTCGGAGCTTAACTTTCCTTTTGCTCGAGATGTTGCCACGATCGCGCGACAGACAGTCAACAAAGCTTCGACAACCGATTTCTCCGTGGGCACGAGTGACGACGCCAGCTTCGGTCTCGTAAACGATATGTCCATCCCTTTTCAGGTAAGTTCTCGGTTTGTATTACACCCGAAGCTCTCTTGGATTACCCATTGACGATCACAAGGACATCTTTTGCGCTAGCCAGGACTTCAACCTCGATGATTGGAGTGTATTCTCCTCCGTGTTCTCCGACGAAGCACCGATAAATCGAGAGATCAGTTTCTGAGGAAGGGAAGGATTCACCCTAGCCAACAAAACTCCAAGAGGGTGTTTTGAGATTGCGAATCAGAACCCGAGGCTGCCTTCAGAACGGTTGCACATCACATTCTTACTAGTAGAACTTCGTTCGGGGTTCGGCGACTTGGCATTACCCCCAGTCAGATTCGGTGCAGAAAGATGCCAGGAAAACCAGAGCTGCTTTTCTGCGATTCAAGATTGGCTAAGGCAGTTAGATTGTATCCCCAGAGTCCCCTAGTTGACGACAACCCCGCGAACCTGTCAACATCTATCATAAATGCAGGTCCTCCAATTGAGCAGGCTTTGTTCCACCATCAATGGTGTGAGAACTTTGTGGAGCCCCTGGAGTATACTATGCCTCCTCGCCTTCAAGGTTATAGTACCGCAATGCGGGGCTCTCGGACTTGTGGCTTTGAGACTGTCCCTCGTCTCATCTCGCCTCGGCTTGCAAAACATATCACGACATAAGCTTTTTTTGGCTCTGTGATTAACGCAACAGAATTCGATCAAAATGTCGGCACAGGGCCGGCGATTAAGCATTACCAAGCATTACTGAGAAATTAATTGCGGCGAGTCAATGGTAATGGTTAACGTCGGGCTACAAAAGTAAATATGGATAGTATGCTACGCGAGACGGTGGCTTCCACTTTATAGAGTATTCATTTCTGTATGCGACATCTAGAATATATGCCTCAGTCCTTCCTTTGCTACCTAGTCTTCATACTTTTGGAAAAATATCTTTGCCTCTTCGTATTCCTTTCGAATGGTTTCCTCATGTTGCCGAGACCTGATCGAAAAGGAGGCCGAGAACGGATTGGGCCCAAACACAAAGCCATCAGAGTATCCCGTCTCGACATTCGAGTCCAGGGGTGGTGCCGTAGGGTCGGTTCGTATATCAAAGGCCCAGGCCATCTTGGACATGTTGATCATCTACGAAATCTTAAGTAAGTACTATGAAGTAATGCGGAAAGTGCCAATCTTTGTAGCTAGGGGGCATCTTAAGAACATGTAACTCTATTGACTCACCAGGGAGTTTTCGGCCAGACGCTGACCAGGACAGACTCGCCGCCCAGCCCCAAAGCTATAAGTAACTCTGCGGTGGGTTTCGTCGTCGTACGAGTTTGGATTGCTGCCCTTGCTGCCGAATTTGTTGTCAACGAACCGCTCAGGGATAAATTCCTCCGGCCTGTCATACTCGGATAAGTCTCGGTGGATGGACCAGGTGTTAGCAAACACCACGGTGCCCTTCGGAAGAAAGTAGCCTTCATAGGTGTCGTCTTGAATCAGCATATGAGGGACTCCATTAGGTGCTACGGGCCGCCATCGCAGCGTCTGTAAACGCGTGTCAACTCCCTTGTGAAAACTGGTCACACGCGTCGTCTGGTCACTCACCTCCGTCATGACCGCTTGCATATAGGGAAGATTCCTGATATCCTGGGAGCCAGGTGATTTTGAGGGGCCACAGACTTCGTCGAGTTCCTTCTGTGCTCTCCGCAACACCTCGGGATGTTTGATCATGGCAAGGACGAAAGAGTGGAGAGTTGAGGAGGTTGTATCAGACCCTGCTTCCATCTTACAACCACCGTTAAACTTTGTTATGCAGGACGGCAATAAAAACGTACCAGAATGCCTCCAGTGTACAGGACTTGTTCATCGTCAAGCTCACTCTTCTCTTTCCCCTCCAGCAGTTTGTCCATAAAGCAACAAATCTTGCCCTGCTTTCGTGTCCTCGCCAAGGTCTCGTTGAGCAAATTGGAATAGAGGTTTCGCTGCTCTTGCCGAATGTTTGCCGCCCAGCGTTTGTAAGCGGCCAAAAACTTAGGAACGTATCTCAGGAATGGGAAGGAGTCCACGGGGGGTGTGGCACCAGGTGCCAGGATTTCCGTGAATTGCTCCTGCGCATGATAGAGTGCTTGTACCTTGGGTGACTCGTAGCTCGCGCCTCTCTGGCCAAACACAGACGCAAGAATGACCGCGGTAGAATAACGTCGAATATGCCTGAAACATCTCTCTGGAGTCGTCATCAGTTCAAACAACACTTGTGATGCCTCGGCTTCTTGCACGGGTAAGAGTCCGTCCACGGCAGTAACATTCAACATGGCCTGGACTGCCTTCCGCAATGCCCTCCAGCGCTGACCGTAGGGAGCAAAGAGGATATGTGTCTCGTAGGGACAAAGAAGCTCGTTGGCCACATAGCTATCAGGCCGACTGGAGTAGATGGCTCCACGTTTATCAAAGAGTCTAAGAAAGGGTCAAGAGATACGCGAATCTAAAGCTCGGTCGAACTTACTCCTTCACGCTCTTGTAGCTGTTTAATACAACAACGTTTTGAGGGCCCAATTTAAGGCCTACTATAGGGCCGTACTGCTTACTCCATTCATGAAATCTGGATGGTTAGACCAAGTGTCATGTTAGCAGTCGCCGGAATAACCCACTTGATAAATGGCTTTTTGAGAGGAAACTGATGCAGATTACCGATTACTGGTAGTATCGATGGCCCGGGTGGAAATGCTTGAGGTCGACGACTAGCAGCAGCGTACCGAGCAATTACGATGGTGAGGACTGCGAAGGAGGCCAGGACCAGCTTGCTGGCGAAAGAAACAGGAATCATGTTGATGAAGGTTGGCTGAAATGGCAGGCTCGCTCTGTCTTCGCATGTCCCGTCGACCGGTTGTCTGAAGGGGTTCATTATATGATGCCTCTCCAGCTGGCTCTTGACTTGATGAACTTCTATTACAAAACCATACCACTTCCAGTTCCGGCTCCGGCACTCGGTGATAGGTTGCGAACACGTTCCCCGAGCTTCGGTTTCTTGGCTCTAGGGACTGGCTATAGACGTGATCTACGGGTATGCATTTTATCTCGGCGGCGAAACTCAGCACTTGCACCGAACAGCGAATGACATGATATTGAGTAGGTGGGTGGTAGATATGGTGTTGAATCGTCCTGCTGGGATGCTCGATTTTCAGGACACTCCCTGGTTAGCAAGTCATTATTGGTTTACATGACGCATAATGTCTCGAGATCAGGTTTTTCCCGTCATAATTGTTGGGGGAGGAGGATGCGGTCTATCCATGTCGTCGTTCCTTTCTGACTATGGAGTCGATCACATTCTGTTTGACTGCAAGGTCGAGGCCTCGGCTCTTCCAAAAGCGCATTACCTCAACCAGAGGACCATGGAGACATTCAGGCTGCACTACATGCACAAAGAGATCCAAAAACGAAGTTGTCCGCCTAACCAGATGAGCCAGGTTGCATGGGCTACTTCGCTCGGAGGCAATGGGCATCTGGACAGAATCGTGATTCACCAACTTCCTTGTTTTGGTGGCGGTGACGGTGACCTCAAAGCACATGCATACAAAACAGACAGTGCAGCAAGATCTGCAAATCTCCCACTCTGCAGAATGGAGCCCATCTTGCGGCAAATAGCTGAGGAAAGAAACCCTGGACGTATCTGTTTTGGGCATACAGTCATCGATTTTCACGAGTCTGATGACCATGTCAAAGTCACCGTCCAAGATACAGCCGGGAATCTCTCAACTTATCGCACCAAATATCTCATTGGTGCGGACGGTGGACGTACCATTGGGCAGAAGATCGGTGTCACGATGCAAGGCGCAACCGGAATTACTGACATGGTTTCTGTTCACTTCGGAGCAGACCTCTCCCAGTACTGGAACGACACTTTTTTCGCCTGCCATTTCATCAACGGCGAATGTGGAACAATCTTCGAGAGCGGAGCCATAGTTCCCATGGGGCCAACCTGGGGTAGGCAGTCTGAAGAATGGGTCATGCATTTTGGCTTCGCACTGGAAGACGAAGCCAGGCACCAGGAGGATAGACTGATCTCTCGAATCCGAGATCTCCTCAAGATTCCAGATCTAGAGATCAAAGTCCACAGGATCAGTCACTGGATCATCGAAAAGGTTGTTGCTGACAAGTATCATGTTGGCCGCGTGTTCCTGGCAGGCGACGCCGCGCATAGACGCCCTCCAACCACGGGACTGGGCCTGAACACGGCGATAGAAGATGCTCTCAATCTATCTTGGAAATTGGCCATGGTCCTCAAGCACAACGTGAACACCAATATCCTCGACACTTATGACCAAGAACGACGACCAGTCGGCAAAAGAAATGCGGACTGGGGATTGTTCACCTTCGAGAACTCGGCTGTCATCAACGCAGCTATTGGTTTAGTTGCAGGGCAGAAGGAGAGGAACAAGTCCAGGTTCGAGGCAGTATTTGAAGACTCTTTGACTGGGCGAAGCATCCAAGCGCAGATAAAGAAAATGATTGAGTCTCAAAGCATCGAGTTTGGAGCACACGGTATCGAGCTTGGCTTCACGTACGAGGATGGACTCAGGATTTCAGATGGCATCGAAGCTCCCGAAGTAGATCACCTTGGGCAGCAATACTTCCCCACGACAAGACCAGCACACCGACTTCCTCATGCATGGCTGGTCTTGGACGACCGAGTAGTCTCCACACACGATCTGGTAGGATCCAAGGGGTCGTTCTTGCTTCTGACCGATGATAGTGAGCTTGAATGGGCCGCAGCTGCAGAACGACTCGGTTTTCAGTACAAGATCCCTATCCAGACAGCCCGAATTGGTGATTATTTGAGGGATTTAACGGATCAGTGGCAGAGGGTCAAGGAACTCGAGGATGGGGGTGCAATTTTGGTCCGGCCGGATAATTTTATTGCTTGGCGATCGCTGGGACCTTCAAAAGCAAATGGTCAAGAGCTTGAGGTCGCCTTTGCTGAGTTGTTGGGACTTCCGCCTCCGGTTATTGAAACGTCGATGCCGTTATCAGGGGATTTACCCAGGGGAAAACTCGTACGTGGAAGAGATGGTTAGCACACAGCTAGGACACTAGTCAGAAATAGCTTGGAGCACCTTTTGGACACTTTAAGAACAAAAAAATGAAGACAGTGATAAATGTGAAAGAGATCAGTTCCTCGAGGCATCCTAACACAGACTATAGTTGCTCAGCACTTATCTCAAAAACCTGTTCGATGATTACATTGCAGAATATTCATCTCCCATTGATTTCGAACCACGACGGTATTTAGCACGTCAGTACCACAAGCGGCGTCACCAGTCACACTTTGAATGGCGCAGAGCAATTGACAGTCAAGTCATCTAAGGTCTTGCCCATGTTCTCCTTCGAACATCAAATTATGAGCTCATAATCTAGTTCTGGTAGACATTACCAGGCGTCGAGGTATCTTTCATGGACAATCAGCCGGCGTTTCTTCGCTACGACGCCGAGTGCCATCGCATCGCCATGATCAAGGTCTCTGCAAGCTGTCAAAAGAGTAGAATGAGAATTCAGTTCGGCATCGGCTTCTTGGCAGTGAAGGCCTCACTACTTGGTGGGGTGTACGGTGTGCTAAGTGCCTGTCTGGAGTATCCGAGGTACAGTCCGGGGCGGAAAGCTGGCAGGTGTAACTGCACAAGCCAGCTGCCCACTTCTTGATTGTCCTTGTTCGCTTCTTACAGCATGCGTACGCGTACGAAAAAACATCCTTCCCAAACTAAACAATCAAGCCAAGAGCCCGGTAGCCAAACATATTCTCACCCGGGACTTCCAAGACACAAGTACAACGATGAATCATTGCTCAAGCGGGCCGACAGGTCAATGTCCAAGTTCTGCACCCACTCGAGAAGCTTGTTGACATGGCAGATCTTTGCCGATGATTGTAAAGAGCAGGGGAAATTAACACCTTTTCTCACGCCTTCACGGCCCCCTATTCACCGGGCACCGAATCCCGACTCCAGAGCGGAATGAGCGCGTATAAAATGTCTTGCCCCATGTGAAAGAGTACCGATGCGACTTGACCTGACTTTTATATCTGTAGACCCTATCAGCTCATGGAAAAATTGAAATCTGTGGTCAGCTTCCCCATATCCCCATCATTGAAGGGCGATGTGTACCACTGCTCCGCAATGTTCCCGAACCTAGGTCTTGTCGCTGCTTCTGCAACCATACTACTGCTCCTCTGCCTAGGTCGTCGACTTCTGCCTTCCAAGTCACGTCCACATCTTCCACCAGGCCCTCCCCGACTTCCCTTCATTGGCAACCTACACCAAGCACCACAGGTATACCCGTGGCGCGTGTATCAGGAATGGACGAAGCAGTACGGACCCGTGTTCAGCCTGCAATACGGCATGAACACCATCATCATGCTTGGCACCTACCAGGCGGCGCACGAGCTGTTGAACAAGCGAAGCCACATCTATAGTTCGCGCCCGAGAGCCGTCATGGGGGGTGAGTGTCTCAGTCGCGGCTTGCGCACTCTGCTTATGCCTCACGGTCAACAGTGGCGCAATCACCAGCGCCTTCAGGCCTCATACCTTAACATTCGAGTCTCACAGAGCTACCGCTGCGTGCAGGATCTCGAGAGTAAACAGCTTCTCTACGAGCTCCTGTCCCCCAGTGTGGACTTTGTAGACCGTTATCACCGATACTCGTCGAGCGTTATCTTCGCGCTCGCCTACGGTCGACGTCTCCCCGTCGGCGATGAGCCGGAGATCCAAGCCATTGACGAGGTGATGAAGAACTTTCTCTACGCCGCGCGTGTGGGCACCTGGCTTGTTGACTCAATCCCCATACTAAACTATCTACCGAAATTTCTTGCTCCGTGGAGACGACTCGGTGACAGGCTTCATAAGTTCGAATCTACCCTCTGCATTGATAACATGACTAGGGGCCTTGAGTCGGAATCGTGGAACTGGTCAAAACATGTCTCAGGGATGAAAGAGGGACGGAATATGTCCACGAAAGAGCTAGCTTACGATGTCGGTATTATTTACGAGGCCGGAAGCGACACGACGTCTATGGCCCTCGAGATCTTTACACTGGCAATGCTTGTGTATCCCGACGTTATGAAGAAGGCGCAGGCTGAGGTCGACAGCAAAGTGGGCGAACACTATCCCGGCTTCGAGCACAGGGACTTACTACCTTACATGGACGCCATGATCAAAGAAGTCTTGCGCTGGAGACCCGTGAGTGCGGGTGGAATCCCTCACGCGGTCATCCAGGACGACGAGTATCTCGGCTACCACATCCCCGCCGGCGCGACCGTCATAGGGAACCACTGGTCCATCCACCAGGACGAGGACGTCTACAAGGACCCAGACACCTTTAACCCGGACCGGTGGATCGAGGATCCTTTCCTGCCGCTTGCTCCGTTTGGGTTCGGCAGGCGGATCTGCACGGGCCAACATCTCGCACTTAACAGCCTCTTCATCAACATGGTGCGGATCCTCTGGGCGTTTGATATCACCCATGCATATGAGACTGTGATGGATATAGATGCCAAGGGTCATGCAGTGCAAGTCAGGCGAAAGTGCGAAGTCGATCCGCTCGCGTTCACACAGGGATTGAACTCCAAGCCGATGCCGTTCAAGGTCGAGTTTAAAGCGAGGTCTCTACAGAGGGAGCAGACTATTCGAAACCAATGGGACAGCGCAGACAAAAGACTTGACGTGCTGCTGGAGGGTATTCGGGTTGACGTGAGGGGGAAGTGAGGTTTTCGGTCGCAGGCATGGTTCCTGATGTTTAGGACAACTGTTGATCTTGGTTCCAATTCGATACACCTCACTTCTTGTTGCGCGAAGGACTATTTCGAGAGTACCGTTAGACTGAAAATTGACGGAAGCTATGGCGATTCTCTTAAAGGAAGGAGTTCCGAGTGCTTATTTCAGGCAAGTATGCCGAGAGCTTAGTAGCGTCCCTCTCTCTCTCTCTCTGATCTCTTCCCTTTTTCCCCTCTTCCTCATCTACCTTTTCTATTCAAACTTGCTACGTGCTCCCGGAATAGTCGTTCACGTGGCTTGACTACTTCGCTTCGTCGTCCTAAGCAAGAACCAATTACTCCGTCTCTAACGATGATTCTATCTTCGCTCCAATCGCGACATTGAGGTACCTGGTGATGGAATCCCATAACAGCTATGTGAGTACCTAAGAAGTATAGCATTCCTATTAAAGAAACGTCCATGTCGTCTGCAGCCTTCATTGGCGACGTACCTCGGTCATCATCAGCAAGTGGGAGACAACTACCAGCCTATCGTGCGAGATACTCTCGCCATCGCGTCGAGAGAGCCTGCGACATTTGTCGTCGCAGGAAGGAGCGTTGCGATGGAGCTCGGCCGTATTGCTCTGGCTGCGTAGCCGCGGGCAGAGAATGCGTATACTCCGGTCACACCAAAAAGCGAGGTCTACCAGAGGGATGGGTACGTTCGTTGCAAAAGATATGGGCTATGGCTATAATGCGCAATTCAGACCTGGAGGATGACATCCTCGCCATTGTATCCGATGGGCTAAAAGACCCGACTCAAAAAGACTTTGCCGCACTCTGGACGGACGAATTCAACGAATATGGCCTGTTTCAGAGATGGAAAAGGTCTAGGGTGTCACGAGAACTCGAAAATCTGCTCCCATCGCTGGAAAATCTTCCTTTAAACAAAGTTAAAGACACATCCGGAGAAGATGAGGTAGAGGTTGTTCAGGAACTCCATCGAAGTGACAGCTATATCCAAGCCCAAGGCATTCCACAAATTCGTGATGCTTCAGATTTGATCGCAATAACTGAGGACGCAGCAATGGACGACGACATCGGAGGTCAGAACGAAGCAATTAAAGCGCTGCATGATTCCCAGAATACTGTTGTGCTGACCGCATCTACCCCGGATCTGCTCAACTCTTATTTTACATGGACTCAGTCCTGGCTACCGATCATTGAAAAACACACCATCTACCGCGAATGGCACCAATATTCCGAAGGGACCTCAACTTCACTTTCAGGCGAGCACGTCTGCCTCATGGCCATTACCATCTATGAACAATTACATGGACCGAAATCTCCACGTTTAGCCACTCCTGAAGCCGCTATCAATGGTGGAGATTTCTATAATCTACAGGTCGCGATAGAGAACTTGATACCAAAGGACAATAAGGAGCTTCGACTTGCCCATGTTCAGGCTCTACTTATTCTTACATTAACAGTGCTGGGCCTGGGACGTCTCTTGGATGCCTGGCTACTTGTAGGTCGGTGCTCTAGATTGATCCTTCTCCTGAAATCGACAAGTGCTGGGTTCATACCTAGCTACGAATTGAGACAGAGCCCTCAACCAGACAGAATACAACATGTATTACTTGCATGTTTTGTCATCGACTCTCTGTTGTCATCTAGGCTTTCCATTCACCCACATATTCGACCTGAAGACCTCACAGACAGGGATCTCGTGGAAGAGGATGGTGATGAAGAGTGGACACCGTTGCCGCAAGCCTTCCAGTCTGGTGGAGCGGCCTCTGGGCCGATGTTCGCGATGAGTACTCTCAATCAGTTGGTACAAGCGTCGAAGTTCTACGGACGACTTTCTGCAAGTTCGACGTCTGCCGAACGGCGTTTGGCGGAGCTCCAGTTACTTGAAGATGACATTGAATCTTGGTGTCAAGGTCTCCCGATCAAGAGTCGCTTGGCATATTCATTCAAGGAAGATGACTTGGGCCACTCTCCTCATCTCTGGATGGTTCAATTAATACTTCTGAGTACCTTGACTGCTGTGGTGGTTCAACGGAAACGGCTTGGGCAAGCCGATCCGAAGAATTCTTATCGACTATCAGCACTATTTCAGCAGCTGAGTCTTCTACTGACAACTCGGGCAAAGAATTTGAACTCGGCGGCCATTCCTCCGATCTGGGAGCCAATTTTATCTACATTAATGGACAATATTGAAGAAGCCGAGAGTTTATCGCTAACTTTCACCGAAGACATACTTGTCTCTCTGAAAGCAATTGTCGCTAGCGCAAGCAGTGTTTGGCCGGCCTTTAACGATCTCAATGGCAGACTTGAGTCACATTCAGCAGACACAGCTGAGCTTCGCCGCAGCACAACACAGCCCCCAATACAACAGGGCCAAGCTACAGACAATGCATTCTCTCGCATGACTGAACAGGAGCTTGTGTCCGCCAGCGACCCTGTTGGTAATGATATGAACATGTCACGAGGTGCAATTCCAGCAGACTTGCACCGATCGGACCTCGACCTTCGTCTCCTTCAAGCGGACGACGGCGAAGTTACCAATACGTCTACGCTGTGTCAAATCGGTCCCACCGAGCCGATACCCCCAAGCACCCAAAGCGATACCGGGTCTTTAATGCCCGATTTTGTTACCATGGATGCCCTCACATGGTATTTCTTGCGCAATCTGTTGGGCATGTATGTGGCAGCTAACGCCTTCTTTCTTAGGGATTCGTCCTGGCAACAGAGCTTTCAGCACCTGGGCTTCTCACAACTAGAAGCTACAAACGATGGTTTGAAGTCGTTCTTTGACGAGATGTGAAGTAATTTTGTCGGAATTAGTGCCTATAAAGTACCAGAATGCTCCAAATTAAAATCAGAACTCAATGTCATCAACTTCGACACAGGCCTTAGCTTGCCGGCACAGCAAGCCATGCTTCTCGACTGCAATTTTGCTGCCACCTTCAATGCCCTTCTCTCGATTATGGCCAAGCATGTCTTGGAGCACTTTTACTCCCATCATCTGCTGCTGCAGTATGCCAAGTATCGGTACTCGGACGGAAATTGGTTCTACAACTAGTTCTTCGCCGATTGTAGACACCTTGGAAGGACAAACGGGGATAAGTTTGTCCTTTTCGTACCAACCTCGAACCCAGAGGGCTCTCTGCTCCCCATCTTGACCGCCCTCAACTTGGTTACCATGACCATCATATTAGGCCCAGAAGAACAAAAAGCGACAGCCACTATCAGCAATCGACCTCGGGTCCGTCTAAAATGAGTCTTTGTATGATGGTCGCTTTCATTTCAGTGACAGCACGAGTGGCAGCTTTGTTTATATCTGTGCTAATTTTGTGACATCTGTGCATGATAAAGGCGCCAGCGTCCATACCAGCTTGTGATGCGGCAATAGAGTCCTTATGATATGTCTTCCCCGTCCATGTGGTATAGATGTACGCCGATGGATGGAAGATTGATAGGAGATTTTGCCACTCGCAGGCGTGACGCCCCTAGTGCAGTTTCCACTTCAGTAATCTGCCGAAGTTCGGGTGTTGAGGGTTTGTTTGTAATGCACCAACCCTCTGCTAGCTCGCGTAACTTGTAGCGTTCTAATGCTAGACTGTTTGAATCACTATTTCACACTAAATCTTTAGGTCTAGAGCCTTCCTGCTAGACTATGTAGGCCTACCATCTTACTTTCCCAACCGTAAGTTCTAGCGATAAATGCATGGCGCGTTTGCAACAGAGTTACATATTTTTGGTTGGAATAGGCATCCTGTTCACGTGACTGGACATGGGAACAAGTGTTCATTGGTCGGCTATGACTTCATCCGAAAGTCAGGTCGGCTCGGCATTCCGTGTTGGGCGTATGGAGGCCTCCACAAATCTGTGGTCGGAATGAGAATTTCTGTACCTGGAAGACATTGTATGCGTACCTCTCGCGTACGCGATAAATTGGTTAGATCTCCAACGGTTGCCAACCTGAATCGAAGCTCGAAATTGTGTGACCCTGAAACCATAGACATGGCATCGATCAGACACAAGTCGGTCTTATATCACAGTAGTAAGGTCATTTACGACAGCTATGGTAGTGGGGGTTCCGCGCTCGTTTTCATCCATGGCTGGTCATGCTCGGCCGCTCTATACTACGCGCAAACACCATTGTTCCACAGACATCACAGCATTACCATCGATCTACCAGGCCACGGCCGCAGCGACGCTCCAAAGATTGAATACAGTCTCGAATTCATGGCCAGAGCCGTCATTGAAGTACTGAATACGGAAAATATCTCCTCCGCTATTCTAATCGGTCATAGCATGGGAGGCCCAGTCTCGACCATGGTACTACGGCTGAAGCCCCAAGCAGTGCGAGGTGTCATTTATGTCGACTCGTTCTTCCACCTACCAGAGACATACATGACTGTTTCTCAAAGACAAGAGCTTGCTGCAGCGCACGCGGATGATGAAAAGTTCAGGAGCTTTTTGGCGCCTTTCGCGACACCCAAATTGTCGAGTGGAGATTGGGAGAGAATTATCGACATAATGACTTCAACGGCCCTTCATGTACGGACAAATGCAACCACAACAGTCGTGCAACCACACGCATGGAGGTACAAGGAGATCTATGAAGTGCCGGCGTTGCATTTAGTGACCCCAATGTTCGAGGACTTTGATCGTCACTGGTTGCACCATATCCCGCGCCTAGAAACTGTGGTGTGGCCGGACAATGGACACTTTTTGTTCATGGAAGAGCCCCAGCGATTCAATGCTGCTGTGGAAGAGTTTCTAGACAGGCTTGAGCTGTTCCGGACGTAAAAAATGCAGGATGGCAGGTTCCATCATTCTATCCTCGCCTCGTGGCGAATGACACATTGCAGATTAGCTGCTATCAAAGTATATTCCGAAGCATCTACTCATCATACCGAGACTATAGTTGAGGATCGCAATGGAGATCAAAGGCCTGAGATGGAATCACTGTCTCAGCTAGCATGATTGAATTTCGCGTTTCTATACTCTCTCCTGGTGATTAAGATTTCCATGTCTAGTCCAAGCTCTTCCTCTCTCTCGAACAATTGTTAAGATAATTGCACTGATGTAGTGTAGCCTCTATGACATTCGACACCTCCTTGATAGCTAGCTCAGACACTGGCTTGCTGGACCATAGTCTGTTCTGAGCGACGGCTTGGTACTTCACTGCCTCGACTCCTGACACGGTCTGCCAGCCAGACATCTCCGCAGCTTTCATGAGATTGGTATGCGGGCTTGGATAATAACACATATCGAGGAGATAGCCGTCTCGGTCACCCACACGTGTGAGTTTATGCAACGTGATTGAGATCAGCTTTTGAGCGTGTTTCTCTTCCGCTGATTCTGCTGGAAGGTCCGGCGTGGTACCGACAATCAGTCTGGGAACGTCTAGCGAGCTAGCTTGGTCCAATGTTGTCAGTGGCAACAATTCCGTAGTACATCCTCCTTCCGACATTGACTTGACAACCTCTTCGATCTCTGAGAAGCTTCGATTGATCAGATAGATCGTGGAAACGTCGAAAAACTTCCATAGAGCATAGATAGCAGCCCGAGAGGTTCCTCCTGCACCAATGACCAACGCAGGCTGGCCCCTACATATTTCTTCGACACCAGGAAATGCTCGTAAGAATGAATCCCGGATGCCAATGCAATCCGTGTTGGCTCCGATATATGTTCTCGAATTCGAAGACGGGTTATCTCTGAGATAAATTGTGTTGATGGCGCCTATAATTCTAGCCTCTTCGGTGAGATTGTCCACAAATCTTAGGCCAGTAACCTTATGGGGCATGGTAATGGAACAGCCAACGCAATTTGGACTTTGAAGTTCTTTGAAACAGGCATCGACGTCCGGTGTGTCCAACAGGTAAAACTGCCATCGCAGTTGCATGTGATTCCAGAAAACATGATGCACATGCGGAGATAAGGAGTGGGAGATGCGTTCACCGAGAAGAAATGCATAAGGAGTGGATGGTAGTCTGGTGGGTTCAATGACGCTGCGAGGATGATGGTTCAGGAACTTGAATTCCCTACTATTGACAGTAGCCATGGTGAGGCTGCGTTAGTGGAGATTTCGGACCGCGTCCTTGCTTCTTTCTCTTATTTGAATGTAAACCTGTACCTGTGGCACTTCCCGAGGTAAAAATTCAAAGCCTTTTAAGCAAATCTCTATCCAATGACCCATGGAAGTTCGACGGCTCAAGATTTTGCCGGCTGACCCCCTCATATCTACAAACGTTCTTTACTTGAAGCTATAAACCTAAATCAGAACCCGGAAATTTCTTTCGCCGAAGATTAAGCACCAGAAGTCTAAGTTTCCCCTGGAGAACTACACAGTTTAGCTAGCTTGGGGATTGTCCTCAAGGAAAATTCCCTGGCGGACACGTAAAGTGTCAATGGATTCATGCATAATCCTCCGTCATCCATTCCAACATTCACTCAGGCATCTGCAACAATGGCTGTAAAGACTTCCCTCACAATATCTCTCATCCTCTACTACGTTATTCCTTCACTCATTACAGGCATTGCCTATGGCTGGGAAGTTGGATCTATGGGCGGCATCCTTGCTATGCCTCAATTTTTAAACTACATGGGCACACCATCGGACTTCCGCCAGGGGCTTATGACCGCTGCTATGATAGCTGGAGAGATCGTCGGATCACTCTTTGTCGGCTTCATCTTTGCAGATCGCTTTGGTCGCAAACCTACGATATTTGTGTCGATCGCGCTGTATCTAGGAGGTCAAGTAATATTGGTCGCGGCGCAAAACCAGGCCATGTTTATTGTTGGACGGGCAATCAACGGCCTCGGAGCTGGGCCTTGGTTCCAGACCATTTCATTGTTAGTTCGGCCACTTATTCTTAAGCCACGACGCAAGATTGTTCAAGTCACTGACAAAAGAAAGTTATACTGCTGAGATCACTCCTCCTCGCATCCGTGGTCGTGTCACTGCGACTCTTAACAGTGGCATTGCCCTTGGCATCCTTATCGCATATTGGATTCAGTATGGAGCGTTGAATATCTCGGGTAACGCTGCGTGGCGGCTCTGCTTCTCTCTTCAGCTAGGCCCTGGTGTCATCGTCGGCGCGATCATGTTCTGGCGCCCGGAGTCGCCTCGCTGGCTCGTTCAAAGTGGTCGTGACGACCAAGCTCTTCTCGTGTTGGCAAATCTTCACGGGAAAGGTGATATCAACAATGAGTTTGTGCGTGCTGAGTTCGCGGAGATTAGAACTATTGTTCAGCTTGAGAATTCTTCCGAAGCACCTTCATACCTCAAATTGATTATCGATAAAGAATTTCGACGCCGAACAGGCCTCGCTATGGGACTCCAATGTATGCAGCAACTCAGTGGAGCAAATATTGTCCTGTATTATGCAGCGAAGGTGTTTGCCCAGACTGGAAGAACTGGACCATCGGCGGCTCTCCTTGCCAACGGCATCAGCTCTGCTCTGCTCCTTGTGGCCACAACATCTCTGACCATCATGATCGACTACTATGGTAGAAGAAAACCAATTTTCCTTGGTCCCATTGCCATGGGCTCCTGTTTGCTCGTGGTTGCATCTCTCCTCGTCCGCTTTGGAGCCCCTCTTTTGACCAAACTACCCAGGCGATTCAGTTCACCTTTGAAAACACCTCCGCAGGAGAAGCCGCGCTGGCATTTATGTTCCTTTTTCAGGTGTCCTTTGGTGCGCTCAGCAGCTCTCTACCTTGGACGTATCAAAGCGAAGTCTTTCCCATCATTGCCCGAGCCAGAGGCACTTCTCTCGCCGTTACCGCCAATTACTTCACCAACTTCTGGCTTGGCCTGTATATTCCAGAGGCTTTAAATACTGCATCTTGGAAGCTTTACTTTATCTTCGCCGGCATCAACTTCGGTTGCGCTCTGATCGGCTACCTGTTCTATCCCGAAACTACAGGAAGATCTCTGGAGGAGCTGGATCTGCTGTTCACACCAGATCGATCAATATGGGTCTTCCTAGATAAGCCCGCAAAGAAAAAGATCTCATTCGCTGGGCAAGAGGCAGAAATCGACCCGGAAAGACTTGCCAATGAACTCGACAAGGATCATGTCTTTAAGAAGACAACCTTTATTAGCGGTGGCGAACAGATCAACGACAAAGCCGCACAGGATGTTATGCACCAGGAGATAACTCGATGATAGGTGATCTAAGTTAAGATGTAGAGGGCGCATATTTTCCACCAGGTCAACTTGGAATGGCGGGAGTAGTGCATCCGCCACGGGCCCCTTGTAGACTAGCCACTACTGTAAATGCATCTTGCTTGGATTAATTCTCTCCCGTCTCTCTGTCTACCCTTTCCTCTCTTCCACTTCTCTCTCTTCGCAGATTCGGATTACATCACTATTCATCTTCCTACATTTCAGGACGACGATATGTGTGACGCCTGTGAGCACCCCGACTAGCTGAGGATTGCACAGACACAGCTTAGAGGGCTCTCAAGACCTTGGCTAGGCTGCCAAGCCTATCAGCGTCTCTCATTCTCAAGAAACTATACTCCCTGCAGTCTGACAGGTCCAAGGACCCTCAGAAGTATTGCAAGTCCCCCGACCAGAATCACATAAATATGGTTGAACATCCTGTGAAAACGGTAAGCGTTCTCCAATTGCCAAGACGGCCTTTCGCTCGTCCGATAGTAGAAGTTGGCAACACGTGAACCCTGCCCTGCCCCGCATCGGAAAGACCGGGCGCTGAATTCTAGGAGCGCTGGATTCGTCGGTCAAAGCTTAGCCGCCTAAATGAGCTGGTAGAGATTTCACGATTTGGAATGTGAGCGTACACGCCACCAAATCTCTCCCTCAATATCCCGAAAACTTGAACACCACAATCAAGCCTTTCGCTGAATGTGCTCTTGATCGTCTCGTGAGATTGTAAATGGCTTCGCGGAGGCCTGCCAATCCCACTTCTACTTCCTCCTCAGACCATCGTCGCGGATCACTGCAAGAACATCCAATCCCAGATTTCCAGACCACCCTCCGACACTTTGACAGTCGAGCCTCGATCGCTCTTGTTGGTGTTCGTGGAGCTGGAAAGAGATCTCTCGGTTTCATCGCTGCCACCCACCTTGGTCGGAAGTTTATCTCCGACGGATTGTACTTTGAAGAGGTAACTGGGCTTAGCAAGGCTGCTTACCTTCATCGATATGGCAAGGCGGAATTTCAGACCCGAGCACTTGCTATCTTTCAATATATGTTAGCGAAAAACCCCCAAGACTGTGTGATTGATTGTGGCATGATTAGTGTTGCGGCTGAAGCACATGAGCTACTCCGGCATTATTCGCAAACTCATCCCGTCATCCACATTATCCGCAACTATGACCACCTCTCGCGCCACCTTCAACTCGGTGAGCAACAGGCGAGATACCTCAAAGAAACCGACTTGCGACTCAGAGAATGTTCGAACATGGAATTTTACAATCTGTACGACAGCACATGCGTCGCCGAGACGGAGACGAGTGCCGAAGATTTCAACCAGACTTCATCTTTTGTTCTCCAGAAGATCAAGATCGATATCCAGGCATATGTAGACTTTATTCTGGCACGCGACCAATCTGTACCTTCTAGCCCTTTTTCACAATCAGCCCTGTTTCCAGAACGAAAAACCCGTTCTTATATCTCCTTCATCCGACTATCTGCAATGAAGAAGAATCCTGCAGAGCTTGACTGGGCAGAGAGTGGCGAAGATGCCGTTGAGCTATGCATTGATACCTGGGAGCCCGGAACTACCAATGATATCGCTATGTGGATCAGCAAATTGAGACGGCAGCTGGGTATCCGAATTGTTGTCTCGCTGGCCAAGTCCGGCACAGAATCGTCGAGTCCAAGTCACGAAGCATACTGGGAGATGATAAGATACATTCTGCGCCTTGCCGTCGACTACATCGTTATCGATTTCAACATTCCATGGGCGATTCAAAAGGCTTTGTTGTCAAGCAAGGGGCAAACCAGAACAATTGCCGAGATTCATCTTGACCCAGACAGCCCTTCGACCTGGCTAGGTCGCGAACGACAGATTTTGTGCGAAAAGGCACAGAACCTAGGATATGACCTTGTCAGAGTGACACAATTTGCAACATCAAGGCAAGACAATCAAGATTCCCTTCAATTTGCAATAGCAACATCTCAGACATTGAAAATCCCGATTATCGCGTACAACTTGGGTTATCTTGGCCGCACCTCGAAAGTCTTCAACAAGATCATGACACCTGTCAAGCGCCACGAGGCGGATATCACTAACAATCATGGGGACATCCCTGAAGCCGGCGTGTGGCTCCATCAGGTTTGTGCTGCATTGTTTCAATGCTTCGAGTATGATCCATTACATTTTCACGTACTGGGAGAGCTGGTATCTTTCAGTCGCGCTCCAGCAATGTACACTGTGGCTTTCAGGCTCTACGGAATGCGCCATGAGTTCTCATACCGCGATGTATCCACCTTTGACGAGATCTTAACTCTCGCGAGAGATCACTTCTTTGGTGGGGCAGCATTGAGCTATCCTTACAAGGAGATCGCCTTCAAAGCATGCACCGTCACAAGTCCACACGCATCTGTCATCGGATCCGTCAATACTATCATGCCCCTGCGCCAATTGCCAGGCCACAAGGCAGATGCACTTGCCGAAAACGCTCGTCTCAGGAATCGAGGGGGACCGGTGGTCGGCTTTTACGGGGACAACAGCGACTGGGAAGGCCTTTACAACAATATTCGACGGAGGCTCTCCCCACGAAATACCGCCGCTTGTAGTAGGGGTGCTGGCCTTGTCCTTGGTGCTGGTGGCTCATCTCGATCCGCGGTCTATGCCTTACTTCGCCTCGGTTGTCAAACCGTATATGTATACAATAGAACCCATGCCAATGCAGTAAAGTTGGCGGCACACTTTAACACGTGGTGTCAGACAAGAGAAGGAGGTTCTGGCAAGTCTTCTGTGGTTATCTTGGAGCCAGAAGGAACTTCTTGGCCTCAGGGTACAACTCTCCCAACCATTATCGTGTCGTGTGTTCCCATCAGTGTGTCACTCTTTGGCGACTCGGATTTGCCTCTTCAGTTGCCTGAAGAGTGGCTTGGGAGTCCATCAGGCGGCGTTGTAGCTGATGTTTGTCTCACTAGATCATCGTGTCTATTAACTTTTGGTCACTAACGATGATAGATTTCTTACAACCCACCCGAAACTCCTCTTCTCAAGCAGATCAAAAGTTTTAGAGAATCGACAGGGTATCCCTGGGCCATTGTCAACGGCGTTGACGTTGTATATGAGCAGGCGATTCTCCAGTTTGAACAGTTCACCGGCTATCGGGCGCCACGACAAGCTATGAAGGACGCGCTCAAGGTCTGAAAACATCTGTCCGGTTTCCGCTTGCCAGTTTAGATGCTGATCCCCAAGGCTATATAACAGTTCTAACGCTCGCAGGCTCCCCGGTGGCAAGTGACTCCTTGACCGCTTCACATACGGCGACTGCCGCGAGCCCATCTTCTCCACTGCAACTTGGTTTCTCTTGATTGCGAACTACCCGAATGAAATTTTCCATTTGTCTTTGGTACACATCTTGTTCCTGGTGTTCCAGATGTGTTTCGGTCAATTCGCTGTACCATCCTTTTTCTAAGCTGACAGGATTCCAGATCAAATTGTCAGGAACGCTTAATACCCCGTATCGGCCAAAGATTCGGTATGAATCTTTCCCTGCAAAAGGGAAGACTTCATTCTCGCCGGTTCCTCTTTCGATATTGAAAGGACTAGGGCTGTTGTCCAGGACCAGAAATGTCCCAATAACCCCATTAGCAAACCGGATAGAAATTGCCGCTCCTTCTTCGGCTTGGTATCCCCGCGTCGAGACGGACTTTTCTGCATGAACCCTTGTTATTGGTCCTATGAGATACTGCAAAAGATCCAACTCATGGATGAGGTTGATCAAGACGACTCCAGCGGTAGGGCCCCTTCTCCAGGCACCAACGCCCGCGAAGTAGGAGTCTGTTTTCAGAGCGGCCCACAACCCCGAGACACCAACAACTGTCCCTATCGACCCAGCTTCGAGAGCGCTTTTCGCACTGAGGATAGCGGCATGCAGCCGTCGATGATGTCCGACGGCAACTCGCACCTCCCGGTCACGACAAAATCTGAGCAGCTCATGTCCGTCGTCAACGCTCGTGCTCACGGGCTTTTCAATAAGGAGATGGATACCTGCAGAGGCAAGCTTGCGGGCTATCGGAACATGCGTCTCGTTTGGTGTACAGATGATGGCTCCATCGGGAAGCTCAGAGGACCTGGACAATAGCGACTCCACGTCTGCGAAGTAGGCACAGTTGTAACTGAATGCCAATTCTCGCCCGATCGGTGTCGGGTCAATGATGGCAAGAAGATGAGCATCTGCAGATTGAGAGATGAGGCTAGCATGCTTAGTTCCAATGATACCAGCACCCACAACAACAAGGGTCACCGGACTCCCGACTGCGATGGAACCCATGATACACGCCTGAGGGTTTGCCTAAGCTACGAGAAAAAGTATGACTTGTTGTGGCAAAGCACTTGGGCTTTCTTCGGTCTCGTAGGGTTACCAATATACAGGAATAACCAATACTTGTGTCAAGCAAAAAATGGAGGTCATTGAGGTCGATCACTGCAGCCAAACCCACCATAGCCTAGGGCCCCGAGAGTCCCCGCATTCCCTCGGGAAAAGAATATGCCGGTTGGTCCTGGAGAGCATTGTCAGACCGGAGTCCCCAGCTTCATCGCGGACCGGGGAATAAATCATGGACGGATCAGATATGGTCAACGCCTATTCTAAGAGAATTTTCACCCTAACCGAAGCTACTTCTTTGAGATGACCCCAATCTTCAGTGGGAGGTCTCATTATGCACAACGATGCAATGATGGAGACATGTATGATTTCATTGATGGACCTAGAGCTGATATTTATTTTTGATAATGTTCCAAGACTCTATGCCTCGTTCCGCGTGTCGACGAGGAACTCCAGGATCACTAGATGCCATTGACCGAGAAAAGAGTTCCATGCTGACCCAGCCTCGATAACCCAGACCTAGTGGCCGGGGCAACAGCACAGCCGCAAGAGCCTCCTCGTCGGGCATGTAGCTTCCGTTTTCGAATGGAAACAATCTCATATTTCTGGACCATGTCAGCCGCGCAGGCTGGTCATCACTCCACCATTGGTGACCAGGTCTCATAGGGAGTCCCGCCCTTTCAGCATTGGCTGCTTGTACATAGTACACTTTGTCAATATCAAGGGTTTGGACCATCTCCCGCAATGAGTCGTGCAGACGGGTATCTGCTTCTGGACCGATCTTTCCATCATCTGCGGCAGGGTTTGCCCAATCCCTCCCTAGGATATGGAAAAGATCCAAACACATGCCAAAGTTCGGACGGTCGACAGCTTGAATAATTTCCCACACTTGTTGCCATTTATTGACAAAGCGGCCCCAGCACAGGCCTTCGTATGCGAAGCGAATCGGGGGCTTCTGTTTCATGCCAGCATCGGCAAGACGGCGCAAGTCGCTGACGATACGTGATCGATCATCTGTGATACCATTTCCCAGAAAGTTGCTCGGCACCTGTATGGTATTCGTTTGAAGAACTTCTGCGAGTTTGAACCACAGTTCCAGGGCCTTCAATTTCTGGCGGTGGTCTTCTTCCGAAACAAGACCCTCAAAATGCATGAATGGTTGGAGAGCAATGATGATCAATTGGAATTGGTCTGCCAGAGACTTAAACATGGAGGCAGAAGTGATGATGTTTGCATCGGTCACCCCTCCTGGAAGGGTGCTTGCGAGGTGCTCCAGATCCTCGTAGAACACTTCTATTCCTTTGAAGCCCGCATCGTGTGCTGAGGCCAGCTTGGTTTCGAGTGAGTGCCCTGCCCAGGCGCGCCCAAGGGACATGGACGCAATGCTTGGGGCGCAGGTCATCATGACGTGAGACTATCGTAGATTGTAGCCGACCAAGAGACCACCTTCCTGCCACGACTGACTCGAGATATCATTAGTGAATTAGCGACTACGGGCGCCAAGGCTGTTGCGGCGGAAAATGTCAGTTCCGATAGATCTGCAATGGTCCACCTGGGCATGTTCGGCTCATCCGCTAGCCGGACAGGACAAGTTAGATGACATGATATTTGCCTCGAGGACAAAGAGCACCACCAATTACCTCGCAACCACACTTCAAGACTTGCTTTCGGCAATTCATAAGGCTATCGATACCATTTCCTCTTGTCCCAGTGCACGGTCCGAGGAACCGGCATTAGAGATAAAACGTGGTTGCCAGAAGAAGTTTCCCATAAAGGACTAATTCGAAATCTCGGATTCTGGGGAAGTGGCTGCAGGATACTTATTAGCTGGGGAAGCAGCTCCAAAGTATCTTCCTGAAGACTTCTGTTCAGCGTACAGTCATGCAGACGAACGAGAACAACGATGCAACAAGCGTCTCCTCTGAAATACGACCTGACACCAAACATCTCCGTGAGATCTTCGACTGGAGAATCTATCTCGCTACATTGTCTGCCAGAGCTATGAGAGGTAAGTTACCTGAAGCCTGCTCTCAGGCCTACAAAGTTGATTTATTTCCTCAAAAGTATACCGGAAAGAGTTGTCTGAGGCACGCGAAGGCCAACACTATCACGGGAGACAACACGAGTCTCGCCCATCTCTTCCTCAGTTTTGACTGGAAATTGTTTTCTCATGCTCGCCTCATTACGTATACTACCACCTAGTATCTTACCCTTTAGGCCACAGACACCATTTATTATTCCAGAAATTCCAAGTCATAGGCTAACATACCCTCAAAAAGGTGTGCAAACCTATCGTGTAAGCTGACATAGTGCATTAGATTCACATCCTGCGTGTTGACTCTAGCGTACTTTGTATGCTAATCTCGACATACCTTGTATGTGCCGGATGGTCGGTATATATCTGCAAATCTCCAGGTTTATCAAATAGTGCTATTACAGCCATGTTGAATCCCTGAGAGCGGGAGGCCGTCGTTGGATGTGGTTGGCCGGCCTTGAGGCTTCGTAGCCCAGGAACATGGAGAACTAGGGATTGGACTGAGCTGGCAAAATCTGCGAGTTGCGCCTCGGTCACGTCTGTTTTGGACCTGGTGAGCACTTTTTATGATGTTAGCCTTTCTCTACCAACAGAAAGAACCACATGGGGTGATTGACCGACGTGATAAAGCGGCATTTCTGTATGTTGTCGGGTACAAGTTTCGCAGATAGGCGATGAAATGATATAGGCACGTTTTCACTGCTTCACTGCAACGCTCACTGGAGCGAGTCGTCTGCCAAGTGATATAAAACCATGGGAGGCTGACGAGGGACTTTATTGCTTCTCATGCGGATGGTGATTGGGAATGAGGCTCCGGCTGCAGACCAACATATTGAAGATCGTAGATAAAGCAGGCGAGCCACAACCGCAAGGCCGTGGCATACCGAGCCCCCAGGGAGCTCCTGTGGAACAAATCCGCACGATCTAGCCCTGTAGGTGCTTACTGGAGGACTGGAGAGCGCATTGAGCTTATCAATCAATGTAATACAAGCTGAACGGCCCGTACATCGGCAAAATCCGAATTTGGTCTGCCCCGTGCCCACCCATGATCGAATGGGGCTAGACAATAGGCAGTTGCGGCTCTGCATAGACCATTAGTATTCAGTAAGATTACTCCTTACGAACAATACACGTGAGGCATTGATCCGCGAAGCATATGTGCATTCATCCTTACATCATATAGAACTTCTCTCAAAAATTGTGTCTCACAGGGTTGTCTGTACTAGAAGCACACGGCTTTGGCACGTTCTTAAAGGGTCTGCCTGCTGAGAGTGCTTTTTCAGTTACGTGCGATCGGAAAGCAATGGGTTACAACACAGAACTGACTGAATGGCCTTCCACAAGTGTACCACAGCCGGCGAAGTTGCTAGTGGATAAATTATTCGCCGTGTTAGACAGCAAAGCACCTGAAGCAGGCGATACGTTAGCGGACGAGGTCTTTACGAAGGACGGATGTCTGGACTCGCATCATCGATTTGAGGGCGCAGATGGTATGCAGCCAGATCTCTGCTCCAACTTGATGTGTCCGACCCAAAGACTAACACTGGACATAGCGATCCGGAGATCCCGAATTAATGCGTGGATGACATTGACTTCGAGACGCCATGAAGTGTTGAAAGTCTACACCGACAGCTATGAAGGGGACGACTTGTTACTCATCGGGCAATTGACGGCAGGCTTTGCGAGTGGCGAGTTAAAAAGGGGAGAGTTCATCGCCCGCATTCGTCTGTCTCAATCTCTCTCAGCCATGCCAAGAATCAAGTCTTACAAAGTCTGGATGGTAGGTTGCATGATGCATGTTAACGCTGGTTTCTTGAGCTGACAGATTTTGTGCAATTAGGACGCTTCAGCAATGAAGACGGTGGACGAAACGAATTATGCATCATTCAGTGGTACTGCACCGGAATCCGGGGTTATGTTAAGGATGCTGCCGACTTTGACAGAGATGAACAAAGACCTGAATCTGGAAAATACCACCGCTCCATGACTCCAAGATTACGGCCAGCATGAAAATGCACAAAGGCCCACAAAGGCTGTCGAGCGCATCAAAGACAGTGCTATCCACGGAACTGGAAAGTCTGATCAAAAGGATGATGGACTTTGTAGGCCGCTGTGGAGACAAAGTCTTTAGTATGATCATTGGTTTCATTGAGCCTAGTAGTGTAGCTCGTATGTCAACATCATTTTTGGTGTCATCATGGTCTCGAAGCTCACAGTTCTCTGCTGAACAAAATAGACGTGAACAAATCTGAAACAACTTTCGTAGATCGAGAAACTATTCTTATGAGAGCTACCTAAGATCAATTTCCTTTACAAATGAGACTGGATTATCATAGGCATTATTCCTTGAATCCAGGTCACATTCGGGGATGTGGCTTTGCTGTCGGTGTTCGAAGAAGGAGACCGTATCGAATCTAACAACTCTGGTGTAGTCTCAAATCAGAAGCAGATCCTCTGCGCATGGGTCAACGTGAGCACTTACGGTGGACCACATTTCCAACTGGCCAGAAGCGCGCAAAGCGTTGTAGAACAAAACTCAAAATTTCGCCTTCGAGGAAGCGCAGAGCCGTTTTATTGGCGTTGGCTTCGCGATGAGGCCATCTCGCAGCGTGAACAGCTGCAGGGCCGAGAAGTGCATAAGTTACCAGAGGCGAGGCGAGGGCGACGTAATCGGGAGACCAGAGATGCAGCGCGCGGAGCTGATTGTTGACATTGGGATCACACGCCGCAAAGAGCCGTCGTTGGCACTCTTCCACGTTAAGGCGAAAAGATGAATTGCGCAATTCTTCGACCTCTCCACTGAAAGCTACCAAGCTCTGTGCTCTACACATCCAATGTTAGTCTTTATCTATCAGATGCAGTAGGTGGTTCGCTTACGTCTGCAGGAGAATCGAGGTGCAGATGATCCAATTTTTCGCCACGAAGTTATCGTCATTAAATGCCATGTTTGGTGCAGTCAGGCAGAAGCTGGATGGTAAGGCCAGGGCAAAACACTGAAGAGCTGACTGAATGACTTTTAACTCATCCACGGCGCGAGCCCGGCGATCCCATAGTCGTTGGGCACTTCGTAGAAGCTCGTTGATGACAAGATACCATGCATAAGGGGCTTGGTTCTCACAGTTTTGAAGACTCCTCCAAACTTCGGATGGTCCCCGTGGGGACATGGACGCCGACTTGGTAAATTTTCCGGAGAACCACGCTTGGTCGGAAATAGGGAGCAGGACCTCCATATTCGAGGTGTCGAGGTTGAACGGTCGGCAGGCAATGACAGACGAAACATTGTCAATCTGATACACCGCCCACCAGGCTCGACGGCGTTCTTCGTCTGCAATCCAATCTTGTCTCTGGGTTGGATCGACATCATCGATACGATGAAGCGACAAGCCGTAGGCCATACGACAGCATATTCCTGCAGATTGCCATGCACGAAATGATGGACCAGAGGTGAGTTCATAAAACGTGAGGAGAATGCGGCATTGGAGCAAGCGCAAGGAAGGTTCCTCATCGTCAGTGATGTGCTCGCGCCAGAGGGCTTGAGCCCTACTTGCAAAGGGCGCACCCCGATCTCTGGGGTTGACATCGCAGCACGGAACCCATTCGGAAAATCGGGCGGATAATGCAAACATGGAATTCAATAGGATGGCACTGGTGATGCTCAAGTCTTCATAGCCACTATCGGTTCCATCAAAATGAGTAGAAAACTCGTCACATAAGCGCGGTTTATGGAATAATGGAAGGAAGCCCTGAACGGACTGGAAGAAGAGCTGGAACCTGACCGGATCAGCACGTTGACTAGATGTCCCTCTATACACCCCCTATCTCACACTCACAGATGATTTGCCAAAAAAGGCGGATATTCCAGATTGGGTTCGGTTGCTATGATGGCACTGCCCGTGCTTGACGGCAATTGTTCTGAGGCTGTGTGAGCAGCTGTGGAACAAAATGGGTTCGAAGCTTTCGCTCCGAGATCAGGGACTTGGAAAGGCGTCTGAATGTCGAGACCAAAATGACCCAACTCGGAGAGGCCGCTCAAGTCTTCGAGATTAGTCTGTTCACCATCTAACGGATCGTTCAAGATAAAGGCGTCCATAAAGCCGACCGTCTCAGACGTGTCTGGGAATGGAAGTTCGGAGCTGTCGATGAATTGTTGCTGAGAGCCGACGCTGTCTCCCACGTAAGAGAGCCTACCTGAATACATCTTGGACCTCTCATACCAGGTTTCTGGAAGCCTCCCTGAAGAGTCGAGGCCAGGAGTCTTTACCAGAGGACGCTCTTGGTGGGAGGGTGTCCCACGGCCCAGAGTCACATCTTGACTGTCATTTTAGCTGTGCATCACCTTGCGAAGCCACCTAGCAGGCATACCTTTCTCGGCACAAGAAGCCTTCGTCCTTTTCCGCCCGCGATGAACTTTGCGCATTGTTGGATATGTACAGTCTAGGTCCATGCGAGAACACAAGGAGCACGACGGGTGCTTCATGTCACCTGCATAGTTCGTCGTGTGTGTCAATGCCTATCAAGTAAAAAGGTTGGGATGGCTCGTTTCGTCGCACATTTTGTCTTCTTTCTGTAGGAGAGGATGGTCAGCATGTCGGCCAGCGTAGCGAGGTAGATCGTGGGTGTTGTACCTCCGGCACTCTAAGCAAGCCCATTGGGGAGGCTGCTTTCGTGGTGCATCGCGCCCACCCCAATATTCTAGAATATGGGTCAAGCTATTGTCCATTCAGCTGGCCGAAACACAATGATGAGAAGTCCAGGAGTTACGAAGGTCCCTGGGAAATACTGATGTCACGTAATGAGAGTAAGCAAAGAGAGAAAGCAGTCCAGGGAAGCGGGAGTTATGAAGTGGCGAAGAGCTACGGAGTGCTATGAGCCCGTTGACCCAAAGTGGCTCTTGCGGGGGCCCCAGGGTCTTGCATTACTAATTGTCAGTTCAATTCAACCACGCATCCTGCCACCTCGGCACAGACTACGAGATGTGCGGGGCAGCGGATATTTGAGTTCATGTACAGCGCAGGACCATCGAACGAACTTGATCATGATACCACCGAGACCTTTTTGGCATCTGAGAGCGGCTCGCAAAACCGTAAAGCAGGCGTACAGTCGTGCCAAGTCAGGACAACTGTGGAACTACGTGCAGTAGAACAAACGTCTTCATTACTCTATCCCCTCAAAGTACATGCATTCTTAACTCTGTACAAACTTAAGAGCCCAGCCACTCTAAGAGTATGTAGTCTTGAGATACCCAATCCTCTCGGGCACGGAACATAGATTCTGTTCTGCTGTTTTTCGGCCCCCTGTGTCTTGACATATATGACTCGTGTGTATTCCCTAGCTATTCTAGCTGTGGTTCGTCAATGGCCGCAATTGTGAACCATGGCGATCCTTCTGGCTATAAAGTCCCTGGCTATAGTGATTTTCGAACACCTTGCAATTCTACACCGACCCTATTCGACAACAACATTCAGCTCTTTGTAGATCATCCTTCAACAAAAATATCACGCGAAGCTTCATCACATGAATTGATCGAGCGTGACCTTCGTCTCTCCATCGTATATTCGGAGCCGCTCGCGACCCTCTTCAGCTTCCCTACATATGTGAGCCTTGATTTCTTCGTTTCGAGGAATGAATTGTGCTTTGAACGGAAGCGGCTGCGTATTCTCGTTGTCTGTATATGCCCACGGGTCAAGCTTGACAGGATTTCCCTTTTCATCATTCGTCAGCACACTTGAATTGAGTTGTTTACGAGATTTCCTCACATGTTCATCAAGGCCTGGTCGAATGTCAAATGACCAAAGAAGGCGAGCAACGGTCTGCGAAAGGCTCTGTTCAGCAAAGTATTGACCACTGCAGGACCGACGTCCCCAGCCAAACGCACTATGGCCGATCTTGTTCGGATATGGTTGTCTCTGGTCCAGATACCGCTCAGGTCGGAAGTCATGAGGATGCGGAAAATCAACCGGATTTGCGTGCATTGCCCACACGTTCCCGAAGATGGGAATACCAGCAGGGAAGTGATAGCCTTTGTAAATGTCATCCTGAATAGGAGCATGAGCGAAGCCTCCCAGAGCTGTCACACTTCTCCAACGCATTGCTTCCTTGAGCACCGCTGCACAGTAGGGCAATCGACCTCCATCGAGATCATCCCAGCTTGGGGCCGTATTGCCAACGACACGATCAAGTTCGTCATGTGCTCGCTTGAGCACTTCTGGGAACAAGCACAGTGCCAACACGAGAGTGTGCAGTGTGCTTGAGGTGGTGTCTAGGCCTCCCCCGATCAAAGTTGCAGTCATCTCGCCGATTTCGGCCTGCGATAAGCCATTTCCTTCGGCAGTTTTGATCAATGCATGGGAAAAGTTGGGTGTTTCGCGCTCAGCACCTTCGCAACTCAGCGCCCACCAGAATCTTTTCAAGGACTTGCCCAGCGACCTAAATTGAGCTGGCAATGGGTAAAACCACTTGGGAAGGTGTTGGAGGGCGGGGAAGGTGTCCAACCAATACAGGGCTGGCACTTGCACTAGCGTTATATCATGCATCATTTTGACCTGGTACGTGGGCCGTCAGTTCAAGTGCTCTGGTTAGAGTCTTGGAAAGGCGCAGAAAAGGGAGGGAGTTTCGCACCGCAGTTTTCAAGATAGAATCATCCAAGCTCCCAATTCGTCGACCCCAGCCCAGGATAGAGACCAAGGAGCAAGCATAACGCTCAAAGTAGTGAGCGAACTGGGCTGGATCGGTGAGCAGCTCATGCATGAGCACTCTGGATTCGTCACATTGGAAGCCTCGGTATGGCTTGATGGCTTGTGAGCCCAATGCAGAATGCTGTTTCTCTTTGTTAGATATCAGACCTAATGCGACCACTCTTAGTGATCTCACCATAGTTTTCCTTTGTAAACGCCAATGATCATTGTATGGCATGAATACAATGTTTGTGGTTGCTTGATTTGTGAGGTCGCCCAGAATGACATACTCGGGGCGGGATGAGTAAATGTTCGATCTTTCTGATGTTAGAGCTAGAGGCGACCACCCTTAAAGAGAGGTGACATACCTCTTTTCCATCAGCTCAGACGCTGACCAAGCATCATTGCAGATGATATGCGGCTTATAGCCGATCCAGATGGTCAGAAGGCCATTTCGATTTTCCCGGGACCATTGTTGGAACTGAAGCCATGGCTTGGATCTGGACAGTTGTAGCGTATTCCCAACCAAAGGCCAGGGAAACGGACCGGGGGGCAGGCTTCCACGTTGTTTTAGTACCTGGAGGTATTGTACAGCAGCCCAACCAATCAATACCATTCCAAAGGCTACACCGATTGGTGTGCATAGCCTAGTTGTGAGATAGAAGACATCATTCAGGATCGCCATAGTTCTCAATAAATGATAAATTATCAAGACACTGGTTGTCTGTAATAATCGAGAGCGCAAGAGACGGTATATGAAGACCATAATCTACACAGCAGGCCGGACGGACAATATGTGATCAACAGAACCAACTCCAAACCGGTAAACACCAGAACTCACTTCGGAGAGTATTTACTTTGCGCGAGCCAGCCCCATACCAATGTTGAGAACGTTGAGCAATCGATTTTAAATCGACGCCACCTTCACTAACGTTACAAGTGGAGCCAACTCGACATTCAACCCGACGATGTACCCAAGAAGTCTGCTCCGGGTAGATTTTGCCGCATGCTGAAGTTTCTCCGGGGTGAGGACCTCGCCCCTGGACTCTGGCTATACATCTCCGTACCCACCCCAGATTTACAATGTACGCAAATGGGCTTTCTGGGGAGGGATAAACCCCGGACCTGGTAAGCAAGGTAGTCCGTAAGGAGCGGAGTTCTATAAATACATGTTCACAATATGAGAAGATGCTCCAAAGTAAATTTTATGCCAAAAAATGTGTTTGGGTGATGTACCTAGTAAGCTATCACATATTTTTTGGTGTCAGGTAGATCAAAATAAGAAACAGCCTTTGCTTCATCTTGCACTTGTAGTCATGACTAATAACCGTCGACGTCCCGCGGACCCACATCCGGCCTTTTCTTGATGCTTGCCTCGTCTTCCCCTGACTCAATCCTGCGTATCAATTCTTCTGGGTCAAAGTCGGCGCCAATCGGATTCTTGGCAAAGGCCTCGGAGTACATGAATGCAGTGGCGGAATCGGGGTCCATATTGTCGACTTGTGTCTCAAGCTTATTGCCATCCGGATCCTGGTAGTAGATGCTCGTCGCGGGGCCGTGGTTGATGCACCAAATAGGGTGAATATCTGCGGCCTTTTTCTGTTGGTAAAAGGTGACAAGATCTCGCAACGTGTCAAAGGCAAAAGCTAGATGGTCAAGTCCACACGCCTTGTGGTTCTTTGGTGCGGTATTTGGAATCGCCACTACAGCCATTCGATGGTGTTCTTCGTCGTATCGGAGGAAAGAGATAAAATCGTTCTCGTAGGCAGCCGTCGCCGTCAGGAACTTCTTGTAGAAATCCACCATCAATGGGAATGACTCTGGCGATGTTCTGAGAACCGCATGGACGAAAGCCCGAGGGCTGAGGTGGCTATTTTCAGCCCTGGAGTAACCGTTCATGGTAGTGAAACAAGTAGGAAAAGCGATTTCGAATCTATCGAGGACGATAAAGGTCTCCAAGGTTGAGGGCAAGTCGCATCAAAACAGACTCGATACGGAAGCTACAGTGCCTTACTTATGCGGTCTGCCACCGGAGCTATATGTGCGCTAATTTCTTATACTAAGGCCCCCGGTTGTTCGATCCCTCAATAAATTGTCCTTCCTAGGCAGCATAGGTGGCTTGGGGATCGCGTGACCAGGCGCCGCCATTCATTACTAGTCATTTCGATCTCGAAGACGGATATTCTCAGTGCAAGGATATTTACCTGGATTGCCGCGGTCAACAACGCAGAGGATCTTGCTGATCGAGTCACACGAAGAAGTGATTTCCGGAGGAGGGAGCTTGCACTGTGACTCAGGCCGACGCCGTTAAAATCTCCTTCAGTGGGAGACCTTGAAAGTCAAACCGAACTCCTATATTCTGACTTCAACAAACGGGCGAATGGGCCGATGCGACGACAGAACTCTGCTGGGTGGTGGATCCAAGGGGGAAAAAATCAGGGCGCAATGCGCTCGGAGAATGAATCGGCCTCCGAGTGAAAGGTCCGTCCTCTTGGCGTCGACGATAAGTTGGCGAGCTGGCAGATGACTACATTTGTCATTACAGGCGTTACTTCCTTTAACATCATTAAAACATTGATGCGCTCATGTTCAAGGAGCTAATGAACCTAGTTAAGGGCCTCATCGAGCTAAGGACGCGTTGCTAATGTTCTAGAATGGTCGGAGATTTCTACTTTTCATTCTTGCGAGGGAGATGCTTTCTCCTCAAAACATTAATAGCCAACCAGACGTATCCGAGGACGATCTTTTCTGCTCCGATTAGAGAGCATTCGAATCTCTCCGCGATCCTTTCTGCTGCCATTAAGAGAAGAACAAGGCTCTCGACCAAGCCATCTCACTTGTCAGCCACCATGCGATTGCGGAGAGTCCCAATTTGAGAAATTTCGACCTCGACGATGTCGCCATCTTTTAGCCAGGTTGCAGGCTTCATAAAAGCACCCACACCGCTAGGAGTTCCGGTCATGATGATGGTGCCTGGGTGTAGCGTGGTGCCTCGACTAATGTGGCGGATAAGCGCGGGAATATCGAATATCAAGTCATCAGTTCTTGTCATCTGTCGCTGTTCTCCATTCACTCGCGTCTTCATCGTGAGCTGTTTCGGATCGGGAATGGCAGTAGTAGAGACCAATACTGGCCCAATGGGTGCAAACTTGTCAAACGACTTTGCATATCCATGTTGTCCTCCACAGCGCTTCGGATCCTGCCAGTATCTGGAGGAGACATCATTCCCAACAGTGTAGCCGAGAATGTATGCGGCAGGATCTTCGTCATCCTTAAGGTCCTTACACTCGCGTCCCATCACGACAGTGAGCTCGCCCTAACATGAATCAGACTCGACGGGGACGTCCATAGAGAAAGAATCTGTTACCTCATAGTCGATGTCTGGAAGGGCTTTGTTCAACGGCACATCGTCAAATGGCCCAGCCAGGGAACCTGGGCTCTTTTAATGACGTGGTCTTCTGTGTTAAGGTATGATCATGCCATACCTGGAGTTTTCGTGAAAACAAGGGGGAAGTCCACCGCTGAGAGCTTCGCACGGGCTTTAGCCAGATTATTCTTTTGCCAAACCCCGGGAAGAGACTTACACCAGCCTCCTGAGAATGGGCTTGATAGTTAACCCCTGCACCGTAACCTATCGGCATAGAAGGAATAGGACAGAGCACCTATCTAGTCAGCAAACTATCTTCAAGACTGCCAAGTGATTGACAACAGAGCCTTTACCTCCTCAATAGTTTCCTGAGCGCCGGTGGGCTCGAAATCATCACCCCACGGGTACTCGCCCTTGTAGGTTGATACAGATTGGCCTTTCAAACTCTGTGCAGAAGACTCTTTATCTGGAACTGCTCCGTAGAAGACATGACCGGAGGGGTTCTTGAATCTAACAAGACGATCGAAGGAAGGTATTGGCATGGTTAGATGCGGGGGCAATACAAGTCCTGAAGCAAAGACCAATGGCCAAAAACTTCGAGTTGATGATATTGTGAAATTTTGCTACAAGCTCGATTTTATATGCTCGAACTTAAAGAATGGTGTAAATCCTGTTGTGACACCGATGATGGAAGCCGGAGACCGTCCTCGTCATTAGTGCAATACCCACAACGGCGTCCGGGGATCATACCGGTTTGCTGTATTTGGCTTCCGACACCTAAGGTCTAAAACTTATGGAAGGACGGCCATCTGAGATTCCTCAGCACCAGCCTCAATGTGTCCAATATCACATGAGACAATGCAGTCCTTAAACTTTCGAAGAATCGTGGGCGAGTGCCATGCAGTCCAATCGTCTTAGAATGGGCTTCGTACTGGTCACGTGAAGTTCTTCTTTTGTGTTTGTTGCGGTGCGAAGAGAAATGAATTGATGTCAAACGAGGTGCAACCTCCAGGTAACCCAAATGCCATGGGTCTAATATGATGAATTGTCAAGTCTGACCTCGATGACTATGAGGCTGTTTGCTATCTATTATATAGTTAAAAGGAGCGTAATTCTTCCTCCGGTTAAGGCCGTCCTCATTACCGCATCAACTCTCGCACGATAACATGGATAGGCCTAGAGAGTGAGGCCCTTGATGTTGCCTTAATAACCAGCACCTCGTCAGATAGAATAGGAAGAGGAATAAGTGCTTAAAATGGGACAGTAAAAGAGCGACTTGAGGCCTAGGAATAGGCCTCAACTTTGTAAAGAACGTTTGGCGGAGTACGCCGCATGGGAGGCCCTGGGCCGTCTAACATTCCATGATGATTTCAATATATAAGGCTAAGAGCTGAATAGGCTTCTAATTTCTCGCACATCAAGAAGACACTGCCATAGAGCTCGTGTCTACATATCTTATCAATAATCGAACACGCAAAGGAGCCATTAGTCTACTTGATACACCAATTTTGCACCACTAATTTTCCCTCCTCGTAGTCGCTCAAGTCCTTCTGGCACTCCCGCAAGACCCCCCTTTCCGACCTCAATGTCGTGAGGACGAATCTTTCCATCCGCCAACAATTGCTCGGCCATGTCGAAGAATTTGCGCGTGAAATCTTGATCGGCTGGCTGAGCCTTTTCTAGGGCCCCATTGGGGCCCATCTTATAATCCTCCCCAAATGCTGTGTATGCCATGACGAAGTCCGTGATGCAATCGTCCCTTGGAAAGACCACTTCAAGGATGCTGGTGTACCGCCCACCTTCTGGTGACATTGCATCAGCACAAATCCTCGCCGATGCTGTTTCAGAGATAGTGTCAAGGATATGCTTAATGGTCTCATGGCTTGCCCGTCGGATTTTCTTGCCCACGTCGCGATCTCGATAATCGAATACAAAATCAGCTCCGTATGACTTGACCAGGGCAAAGTTGTGAGGACTGCATGTTGTGTACACGATCAGACCAGACCTAGAGGTGAATAGGCTTAGAATGCAATATTGTCAACAAATATCGTGGCGGGATAACTTACTGCTTGAGAAATTGGATGGCTAAAGTCCCCGTGGACGTGCTGCCGCCATAGACGAGGACTGGAAATGACCTGTCGACCGGCGAAGTTGGAAGAGGTAGTTTAAGCGATTTGTACAAGCAAAGACCAATAGTCACCAAGCCAACCCCAAGCGAGGCTGCTTGCTCAAAGTCCAGACTTGGAGGTATATGTAGTGCTAGGTCGCCTTTACCAATGACATGTTCGGCGAAGGCGCCGGTCAGATGATTCATAGTGTTTGCTGGTACACGTTCTTTTGTCAGAGCAGCATTGAGCCAGATATGCGAGCAACTTACATCCGTGTGTGAATCCTGCAATTCGATCACCAACTTTGAATGGCCTTCTGACGAGAGGGCCAATCTCCTCGACATAACCGGCATAATCCAGCCCAACAAGCGCCCCTTTATCCGCACGCCAGTATACGTGCTTCCAATCAGAAGGATTTAATGCAACTGCGCAAGTTCTAATCTTCAAAAATTGTCCAGTAGCTTTTGGGATCGCAATTTCTTGTATAGCGGCGACTCCCAGGCCTTGAATCACAACACCCTTCTGCATAGAAACGACTTCCTGAATGACTGACATGGACGAGGGCCTGAACAAGGAACCGAAAATCAAATCGAAGAGACACTGTGGGCGATCAAGCATTACTAGCACGGCATTTTATGTACATGCACCCGAAGACATCCAGGCTGACAAATTGCTCGAGGTGTTCCGCAATGGTAAACTCCGATATTCTGAACTATGGCGCGAGTCCAAGTTTTGCTGTGGCCGGCATCTATTCTATTTCTGTCCATTACCTTGAGAGGAAGCACGAACAGTAGCTTTCCCCGATGTGATAGAATTCTCAGAAAAGAGGGTAAGAATCTTACGCGAGCACAGCCACGGTGTCACGAAATACTACACCTACCCCACAGGGTTCAGGTGGGAAAGGAGTAGAGAATAGAGCCCTAGGACAAGGGCCTAGCGACTACGTGAGAAAGGACGCCGGCGGTATGCATTGCCTCGGAAGGCTTAGAGCACGTGACATCAAAAGAGGAGAGCTTTACAAAACCTGCCAACCCCAACTCGGGTGGAAGAGGTTTTCTCTCTCCCTTCTAAGCGTCGAGCCGTTGTACTGTAGGACTTCATAGTAGAATACCCTTCGGTTACATCTTTACAGCGTCTATATCAGTGGAGATCCCGACACACAAGCACTTGATTGCCTATTTAGTATTCATTTCGAGTTATGCGAGTGCAGAGAGCGTCGAGCACTCGAGCACCATACTCAAAGTCCTCGAGATCAAGGTAGATCTGAGCTGAAAGCCGGGCCCACCAACAGCCTCTATAGAAGATAAATGCAATGAATGTCGCGTGCTCAGAGACGCATGATGAGGTCAGAAACTGAGTCACTTGAGGCACTAGTGACAGCGGGATGGGCTTCGCAGCCTTCACTGGAGCTGAACGCGTGTGCTGCTGGTCGTTCACAACGCTTAGGGGTAACCGGACATTCACCATACAGCATTGCGAAGTCAAGCTGTGTCCTGCGTTCTCCATGATCTCAGTTCCTAGTATTCTGGCCACGAGCTGCCCGCCATCAATGGCAAGCCTGTGACAGTAATGTTGAATTGCTTCCTCCCCACCACATACGTTGCGCCGAAATTTGAGTGCTTCAGGTACACAAAGATTGGGGCCGCCATCAACGCTCCCTACAAACTCGAACTGCGACACGAAATTGCTCTTCCCAGTCGGAGGCAGTGGGTTGTTCACGACCAACTCCCCCGGCTCTAACTTCGGCTCATAATAGTGCGAGGTTGGTAACGATGACTTGATCAGATATTGATTGCATTTGGGGACGTAGAAGACTGCACATCCTCGGGGAGTAAACAGCCATCTACCTCAATCACTGGTCAGCATTCTCCTTGTTTGGGCCGCCAATCCGTTGCAGGTGGACGAGAACGTACTTATGGCAATTGGAAACGAAAAAGTCAGGTGCTAGTCTAGTAAGATCGAGCGGCAAATGACCTACGCCGTGTGCACCATCGATCAATGTCAAAACGCCATAAGACTTGGCTGTTGCGGCCAGTCGCTCGAAAGGAAGACGAACGCCTGGAAGACTGGCGACAGTCTCGAACAAAGCAACACGTACTTTGCCCGAGTTTGCTGCAAGCGTAGCTGAAAACTTGGAAATAAGCTCATCATCGTCGATAGGATATGTGAAATCGACTTTGACTGATCTTGCTGGAGTCGTGGCAGTCACGTATGAGATTGTTTTCTCGCATGCCCCGTAGATGGGATCCAAATAAACAATCAAATCGCCTTCTTGATACTCCAGATTTCTGAGCACTACGTTTACCGCCGTTGTCGCGTTTGGCACAAACACAACCTCTTCCACCGGTACACTGAGGAATTCAGCCATCGCTGAACGAGATTCATCCAGGAGTCGTGGATATTCGTATCGAATGAAGCGATCTGGCGCTGCTTCAGCGATGTCTTGGAAGTAACGGAGCTTTTTCCGAATGTCTTTTGGGTAGGTCCCGAATGACCCTTCCTGGTCAGTTCCTTGTGAGAAAGATATTGAAGGGGCTAAGTGCCTACCGTGGTTTAGATTAACAAAACCATCCTCGAAGAGAAAGTGCCTTTTTCGCATTTCCTTCCCAAAGGGAACGATCTCATGGTCGCGCGACATCCTCTGCCACTGAATTTCAGGCTTCATGCACATGGGATGCTAGTCCATTCACTTACCAGAATCTTTTGAGATGTTTGAGACCTCCCACACTATAAACTCCCTCCAAGATTGAAAGACACCGAAATACTGCAAGTTCTGTACGCCACCAAAGAGCCTATCCGAAATCACCAAAGTTCCGTAGCGTGAAATTTACTTTTCAATGCTAGCAAGTCTCCGCGGAACCACCCTGTACTCCCGGCGAAGTGCTTTTTGGGTTTTCTCCGTGAAAAGCTCCGGGCCCACTCCGGGCCCATCCCCCAGCAACCAATCAACACAGGATACTCAAGTTCTACATCCGGTGTGGAGCTCTTTCTCATTTCGGTGATGTACGATGTAAGCCGTACCCAGGCACTCGAGATGGATGCCTTGCTGGGACGATGATTCGACATAGATTATGGGTTCTAAAGCATTTCAAGAGCAGCTCTAATTTACAGCAACATCTCGCTCGCCTGAGATCGTGAACAATTCGTCGATTCGGTTCACTTCATTTAGAATGTCAAGCATAAAGTCCGCTGTGATCGACTATAAGCCCAGCGAGATGAATGGCAACGATCACTATGATGGAAGTCGACCCTGGAAACTTGACGCAACCAACATTAAAGTCACCATTAACAAGAATCCAAGGACTGTCCCCGATCCAGGATCAGCTGAAGAGCGGTCTCAGAAAGTCTGCTCCGATCACATGGTGAGCGCGGTCTGGACATTGAAAGACGGCTGGCAGCAACCTGAGATTACACCATATGGACCTTTGCCAATAATGCCGACAGCGAATGTCTTGCACTATGCCACCGAGTGTTTCGAAGGCCTGAAGCTCTATCGCGGCATGGACGGTAAGCTGCGCCTTTTTCGACCACTTGCCAACTGTGCAAGGATGGTCAAGTCAGCGGAGCGAATCTCATTACCTGGATTTGAGCCGGAAGCACTTGTAGAGATGATCCGCAGGCTGTGTGCAATGGACGGGTCAAAGTGGCTACCTGCGCACTGTCGGGGCAGTTTCCTCTATATCAGGCCAGCATTGATTGGCACTGATCCCTGTCTGGGATTCGAAGTCCCAAAAGAAGCCCTTCTTTACGTGGTTATCTCCTATTGGCCACAGCCGTCGTATTCAGACGGCGCTCGCGGACTACGACTACTAGCCAGTGAGGCTGAAGAGCTGCGAGCTTGGCCAGGGGGCACAGGTTTCGCAAAGATTGGTCCAAACTACGGCCCTGCTCTAAAGGCGCATGGACGGGCCAAGAGAACAGGCTGTGACCAAGTCCTCTGGTTGTATGGAGAGGATTGCCAAATCACTGAAGCTGGATCATCGAATGTATTCATTGTGCGCAGAGAATCTAATCGCCAGTTGCAAATGGTCACGCCGCCTCTCGAGGGAGGATCCATCTTGGCAGGTGTGACCAGGCAGAGTATTCTTGAACTGGTACGAGCGAGATTATCTGGCGATACAACCAAGGAAGTTGGGCCTGTAGAGTCGATCGAAAAGAACTTCACCATGGGCGAACTCTTACAAGATTTAAGCGACGGCAATCTTGAAGGCGTATTCATCTGCGGAACGGCGGCTTTTGTAACCTCGATCTCGGTCATCGAGTTTAGGGGAAGGACGATTGAGTTGCCCAACAATAATCTGGCACTTGTATCTCTCCTTCGAAAATGGCTGTTTGATATTATGTACGGTGGTGAGAAGAGTGAATGGGCAGATATCATAGAAGAATTTTAGTCACATCGCAATACATAGCTTAACTATCGCGGCCTATACGTCAAATACGGATGTTACAACACTTGTCCAGTGGTATTCAGGCCAGAAATGAGGGTAAAATACTTAGTCCTTGTGGCTTCCGCAGCTCAGCATGAACATCAGTACGACTGCCGGAGTGAAAAGGCTCCAAGACCTATGATTGTATGCACTCTGTTCCATAAATATGTAGCTCATTTCGAAACCTGTATACTACTTTCTTCATTCTGAATGCAACAGTATAATATCTAAAAGAGTAATGCGAGAGAGTTAGCCTCTAGTGTAATGACCACATGCTCAGAGACCCGTAATGTAGAAGATTTTTGAGGTACGTGGTTGGCCATGCATGATTGTCAGACTTTTTCGGACTCTACAGAGACTTTGTTGCTGGCAGCATGAGCTCGAATACGCCCAATTGCCTTTCTATCCATATGCACGGCAGTGTGGTTGGTCAAGTAGCGAGACGGGTCCTTCAGGAAACAGCTGGCGATTGCTGCAATCACACCAAACGGCGTAGCGGCCCAGAAAACCCGCTTGAAGGCGTACGCGTAAACATCCCGAAGCGCCATCGCGGCTGCAGATTCAATGGCTGGTGTGCTACCCGTAACATTCATGAAGGAGTCGGGAACTCCCAGTGCGTTGTTGATGGTTCCTGTCACTAGGTCTGACACAGAGGATAATGGGAGGCCATTGGCTAGGCCAGCTTCGGCAATGTTCTTGGCCAAGTGTTCCGTCACTATGTTGTTGAGGATGGAACTGAACATAGCGTTGCCCACGCTCCCTCCAGCGGTTCGGAATGTTCCAATGAGGCCGCTCGCGATACCGAGATATCGGAGTGGAATATTGAGTCCAGCGATAAGATAGCACAAGACCGTGACGGCGGTAAATGGACCGTTTCCAAAGAACTGGAAGGCCATCCACATTCCACGGTGATTGGGCACCGCTACGGAATACAGAGCCACAAAGAGAACCCAGAGAAGCAGGTAGAAGACCACTTGTAGTCGAAGGTGTCCTATCTTGCCACTGATCGCCGTGCATATACCACCAAAGAACAGCAGTCCAAAGCCGTTGGGCAGAGACATGATTCCAATCTCTATTTGATTGCTTGTGAAAATGTACAGGGTGGCCTGGGGCAATATGGCCGACATG